TTTTTACCAAATGGAATTGTGACACAGCAAAGCAATTTTTCGCGACGCCGCGCAGGTAAGTTAGTAGTTGAATCAAACATTATTATTTTTTCACAAGCCACTCGGTTCGCAGTATAAACAGGGCGATAAATATTCATGAGCAAACTAAGCCTTCTTGTCATAGGCCCAGAGCTTGATGGATGGTGCGTCGTGGTTTGCTATCTTGGCTCATTTTACCCTGACGACTTTTCTTCGTGCTGTCATTTGGAAGTGCTATATTTTATGCCTATACTACAGAAATAAATTTTTCAGAGATCTTTCAAAATTATTTTCAGAGTTAGTCAGTAATTATAGAAATTTGATATATTTTTTAAATGCCAAAAGTCATTACCAAGACTAAAGTTATCACTTACTTTCGAATAGAATAAAATTAAATTACAGTTATATTATTTACAATATTATATGATTGATTTTCGTTCTATTATAGATTCGCAGTATTCTAAGAACGCTTGATGAAATAGTCAAAAATATAATTTATTCTCATAAAAATAAATGTCATATCACCCAAAGCTATAAGAAACGTAAGTAAGTGTAACGTTATTATCAAGTTTCCGCCTTTTTATCAAATTGCGTAGCTCGTTCAATAACATTTGAGCGAAGATAAACGCAGAGTCTGAATGTTATCCAAATGTAAGGAGATTTCCTCTCGATCTCCCTACGTTCCGTCGGTACGGGAACGGAAACACCTATATCTAAGAATTCTCCCCCGGGAAATACTCTCGCCAGGAGCAATGTTGGGGTATTTTTGGCACATTTATCTTGATGTTCTCCCGCTGCGATGTAACGAGAGTTAAGCGGTTAACTCTGCTCGGTATCCGATCTGATCCGCGGCCAATCGCCCGTTGATTGATTTCCATGAAAGGCCACCAATGATAAATTTCTCACTAGAAATATTCGTACTGGTTTATCTAGAAAACGCTTTCGGAATATTTTGCAAAGCGATTTCTGGAAAGTTCTTTGTATCTTATAATAGAATAAAGTGTTTTATCATTCAGTTTCAATCGTGGTAGTTTATGAAATTATATTTACATTAATTTTGAGCTACATTAAAAATCAACTTTAAATTAAATCTTTTGAAATCCCATTTTTTAATTAACTTTTTTACGTAATCGGCAGGAATGCGTAAAATATTGAGTGATATGCATTAATAATAAAAAAGGGTGTGTCCAGAAATTTTAAGAATAGTTACTTAGGTATTTAAAAATATTGTTCCTGTCTGCTTCCTAAGCCCATTACGAATAGAGCCCGAATAGAACAACTGTAAGTCGGACTAAAATACCTCGGTTGAAATCAAATTCGACCGATTCGCTGCCAAAAATAAAGTTATTTCAATATTTTTCAAAAGTAAAGTATAAATCCGTATGCTCGAACAGTATTACGTTGGTGAAAAATTATATTACATAGATATAAATTACAAAACTCAAGTCATTATTTGTGAGCATAAACGACCCACGTCTTATTAAATACTATACGGGTCCCGCGTCTTCGCTCACCTCAAATTTATAATTCAGAATCAAGAATAGGACGCGTTGCATTTTCTTGGGATAAAAAGTAGCATATGTCACTCTCTCGTCCACAATCTACAACTCGATTTGTAAGTCCGTTGGTACGTAAAATCACGTACCAGTGAATACACAGTCGTATTTGTTATAGGAGTAACTCCCGGTGTTGCCCGGGCCAAAGCATACCTCAATAAAAGGTTTATCATGTATACAAGCATATAAATATAAAATGTCTTAGTGTCTAATTTATTGTTATCTATACTAATCTATACTAATATTATATAGAGGAAAGATTTGTTTGTTTGTTTGTTTGTATTGAATAGGTTCTCAAACTACTGAACCGATTTGAAAAATTCTTTCACTGTTTGGAAGTTACACTATTCCCGAGTGACAAAGGTTTAAACATTTTGTGGAAAAAATTCGAGATCCTTACTAAAACTCCAATAATGTAACCCAAGGTGTGAAAAAATACCTAAAATATTCTTTACATCGCGTGCCCTGCGAAAACTATTGATGATAGAATAAAATAATGTACTACGACTTTGTAGAACACATTATTATTTACATAAAGTGCCGGGACAGCATGTCTAACTATTATAGTTGTGCCGCAATAAATGTTCTTTTATTTAAAAAAATTAAATAACATCAAATATCGGAGTATGCAAGAACAACATTTAAAGTCTACTTTTTTGTAATTTAATTCCTAAATCCTAAACAGATAACTATTTCACAACACTTCACTCAACGACATATTTTTTCATCTCCGTCACCGTTGGCTTACTACCATTGCACATTAAGCCCGACCTCCTTTTCCAAAAGCGCAAGCGCGACAAAATTCATATTAAATATATCAATCGAACTTTTTTAAAATAAATATAGTTATATTTTTGTAAAATTTTATTCAAAACGATTTATTCACTTTTGTATGATTCAGCAACATCTATCCAAATAAACAAAATGTCACAAAGTACAAATAGTATATGTTGATATGACTGCTCACTAAAATTAACAGGCGTTTCGACAAGTACAAATAAAGTTATCGCGCTTTTGTGAGGGCACGTATTGGTGAATTAGCAGGTCATTCCGGATCCTCCCGATCCACTAACGGTGCTTTTAGGTACCCCAAGCACCGGTCATCGTTCTCGTCGAACCTGTCACTTGCGACGACGGGCTCGGCGAGTAAATTAACCCACAGACAGCCTACTGAGTTTCTCGCCGGATCTTCTCAGTGGGTCGCGTTTCCGATTCGGTGGCAGATTCTGCGAAGCACGGCTCTTGCTAGGGTTCGTATTCGGGTTCGTGTTAGCAACATCGTCAGGCATAAGCCCCGTGAGATCACCTACTAGTTAAGGTTACGCTGATGTGGTCTCTCTAGACCATCAGCTTAGGTAGGAAAAACAAGGTAAATTAGTCTTATCTGCTTCTACGGCAAAGTAATTATATGTCCCAATTTGAAGTTTCACTATCCCTAACCGAGCCGGTCCTTGTGATTCTAAGTAGTTACCAGAGACCATTGACATTCTTAGGTAAATGATGTCATCCACCTTGAAATATAAGCTGAGAGTCTCAGAGATATCGTTAAGATTTCGTAATGGCGTAACAACATTATGTTGGTTCCTTACATACTTGTATGAAAAAAAGTTGTTGCTTAAGTAAAGTATATTTTGAATGTTGCCAGATTTTTATGGTGAAATACCGGGAAATCTCGGTTACAATAGGCCACCCTGCTTATTACTCTTGCGAACCAATTATGGGTTCCGGTTTGAAGGGTGAGGCAGACCTCGACCCCATGCTTCATGCTGGGCGGCTTCGTTCACGGTGTGATGTTCTTTAGGAACTACTTAATACCAGTTGTATTGGCCGTGTGCTCGTCTTCTCATTTACGGCAATGCAAAATGTGTATTATAGCCATTGTAGTAAGACACATCTTGGAATTTTAATAGAGAAATTGTACTGATTCGGTTGTAAGACACTGTAAACAAAAAAATTCCGGAAGGTTTGATCAGGAGATGTATTTTTTAATTGCTTAGATGGGTGGACGAGCTCACAGCCCACCTGGTGTTAAGTGGTTACTGGAGCCCATAGACATCTAGACCGCAAATGCGCCACCCACCTTGTGATATAAGTTCTAAGGTCTCAGTATAGTTACAACGGTTGCCCCGCCCTTCAAACCGAAACGCATTACTGCTTCACGGCAGAAATAGGCAGGGTGGTGGTACCTACCCGTGCGGACTCACAAGAGGTCCTACCACCAGTGATATATAAGAATAAGAACCCTTATTGGAATTTTAATAGATAAATTATACTGATTCGGTTGTAAGACACTGTAAACAGAAATTTTCCAGAAGGTTCGATTAAGAGATGACAGGCGGACGCCAAAAGTATAGAAGTTAACGAGGATGTGGCATTGGAACAGTTGATGATGGTGATCATAAGTCTTTATTCTCAACTCGCCAGTGCCAGTAGAATTTAAACAACGAAAAATATATCTAAATTTGATAACATTGTTGTTGCGTCATCATATCGACAGGGACTGCCATGATGCCATTCTGAACGATTAATGAATTCTAGTTTGAAGGGCACGATACTTGTTATTATATTATATTATTATGTTATAATACATATTATGTTTCGATCTCATGTCTCAAGGTCGGTGGCGGTATTGTGGCGTTGTTATTTCTATAGGCTCCGGTAATGTCATATAGTTAGGTCGCAACCTCGTCGCATATTTACGGGAATATGAAAACATAATAAATAAATAGAAAAACTTGTAAATTAAATATTAATAAAAAATGTATCTACGCTTTTTGTGATATTAAACCAAACGTAAATAAAGCAATAAGGAAATGTTCAAATGAATAAGATGCCCATTGGACGCGCCACCACACCTCAGGACGTCAGATTTTTTATTCAAGTTGTGATACTTATGAGTCTCGATAAATTGTTATTTAATATCACGTGGGCCGTGAGCTCATCTATCTATAGAAATAAAAGTAGTAACATATACATAGTATACACACATTTATGTATATCACAAAAAGCGTAGATACATTTTTACTAATATTGAATTTAGTTTAGTTGCTCAGCGGTCAGGGCCGCTAAATACTGCACCATCGAGTCAGTCAGTCAAACATATTTAAGTATATTTGTTAATTTATATTCAGACTGAAGGGTGGGGCAGCCGTTGTAACTATACTGAGACCTTGGAACTTATATCTCAAGATGGGTGGCGCATTTACGTTGTAGATGTATATGGGCTCCAGTAACCACTTAACACCAGGTGGGCTGTGAGCTCGTCCACCCATCTAAGCAATAAAAAAACAACTCTGTGTTAACATGAAAATATTTACGTAGATGCAATCAATCGGTAATTGCTTTTCTATGCAACAACATTGGTTAATTGCAAGGTCGATTCGAATCAGTTTTGGGTAATGATTGTCAGTGCGAGCTGTGACTCGATCGAGAATGGACTTCACTGATAAAGTTGTTATTGTAACCGGGGCCAGTTCTGGCATCGGGGCCGCTACAGCTGTGTTGTACGCGAAACAATCTGCCAAAGTCGTCATAGTCGGAAGAAATGAAACAGGATTGAATAAAGTTGCGCAACAATGCGAAGCAGCAAAGGGTCTGAAGCCTTTGATCGTTAAAGCTGATCTCACAAGCGATGAAGACGTAAAAAAAATCGCTACGAGAACAATCGAAATATTTGGGAAGATTGACGTTTTAGTGAACAATGCGGGAGTCGGATTCCGTGGCAGCGTCCGAGACGGCGTTGAACTATTTGACCAAGCAATGGCTTCCAATTTAAGGCCAGCCTATTTACTTACGGGTCTTATAACGCAGCACCTAATGAAAACGAAAGGTAATATTGTCAATGTATCTAGTGTTGCTGCCTTCCGACCCATTAAAGATTTGGATTTCACGCCGTATTGTATATCAAAGGCAGGATTGGATATGTTCACGAAATGTGTCGCTTTAGAATTGGCTCGTGATGGTATCCGTGTGAACTCCGTTAATCCTGGCGGAACTAAGACGCCTTTTGTTGAAGCTGCAGGATTTACCAAACAGCAAGCTGAGGAGGTTTTCGAAAATAGAAAAACTATTTATCCGCTGGGCAAAGTATGCCAAACCGAAGAGGTGGCGGAGTTAATACTGTATTTGTCTAGCGAAAAAGCGAGGAGCATTACTGGTGGTATTTTTGTTATTGATAACGGTGAAATACTTACATAATTTTGATTTAATTTAAATATAAAAATGTTTAATCTTTTTTCCATTCGTAATGCATTGGAATGTTGTTTAAAAAGTTATAATTGTATTTACATTCAAATTAGATGGCATAAAAACGTATTTCTTGTATTCAAATAAAGCAAAATGAATGAGTGGTTCACAAGTTTTATAATCTTATTATCATATTAATTTTTTTACATGGAAGTCATAATTTGGTATTATGAAATTTTCTTGTTAAATTATTTAAATTAAATTTTCGGCCTCGATATGACCGAGCAACTCATTATGTAACCTGAAGAAGAACGTTGTATCAACACGAAATACTTACTACGGTGAACGGGATCAGTAAGTAAAGCATGTAAGCCCCTGTAATATAGTTCGTATATCTTGCCCCATTAGTCTTGATTTCGCATGCAGCGACCTAGATTTAGTCGGACGCAAAGCAGAACTTACTGCGGACGTAAATGAGTGCTAGTGAATTGATTCATAGTAGTGTTCGAGCAAAACTGACGGTTAGGGTAAATTGTTTCGTATACATGATTCCAGTTTATGGTAAACGTGAAATATTATTTTAACCGGAAAAGGTATTATGTTTTCACAGGGTTTCTGCGTCCTCGATACTCGGAATCTAGTTCTGAGAAATACAAATGCAATCTTATAAAAGCTGTTAAGGTTTCTAAATTTATTACGAGTACTTTATCTGTATTGATTAAGTCGACCGTACCCACCATTAATTAATCATTAGGTAAATTATCAAAGCAAAGTTTCGGTTTGATAAGTTAAATTTGATCACTTGACCGATTAGCTTAGCATTTGTGGACTATGAGAAAGTCTTCGATTCAATTGAGACCTGGGCTGTATTGCAGTCTGTCCAATGGTGCGAGGTTGATTAACGGTACATTGAAGTGTTGACTGTTGATACGGAAACCCTACTGTCAGTCCAAGATTGGGTTTTGGAATCCATATGCTCACCGCTGCATTGGAGGATAACTTCAGAGTTCTGGACTGAAAGGGCTAAGCATCAACATTCGTAGCTAGTGCATAGGTCATTTTTGGTTCGCTGACGATTCTAGATTATCGTTGAGACCTTGGAAGACCTCAGTAAAATGCTCAATGATCCTCAGTAGACCTTTTGTTCGAGTGGGCTTTAGTGTGCACATAGGCAAAAGAAAAATATGTCGAAATTCCATGTAGTACCCACTCTAGTAAAAATTGGAGAGGATACGGTCAAAGCTGTTCACGACTAGGTATAAATAGAATCCGTAAAATTTACTTATTTGATCATATTCCAATACAGTTGGAAAATCGACTTTATATTTCAAGGTAGACCTATAATTCGCGTTAATCTGTCTAAAGACAATGGCAGTTAACAAAAATACAACAGTTTCGTTATATTCTAGAGACTGAGGTGACATTTTCAAATAGCACAACGTCAACATAACCTCTGATTTAGTTGAAGTAAACAATTCGCATCGGTCATATTTAGGGGGTATTTTCTTTCACAAAGTAGGGATTATGTGGAGCTCTAATACATAAATAAATGATTAAATTACGAGAAGCATTATAAGAGGGAGTCACGGTGCGTGTGGAACGTGCGATCCGCCTGCCACAGGAGATTTGCCTCGGGATTTTTGAAATTTTATTTGCGGTTGTAAAATCTAGCGTCGACGATGTATCGAGAGAATAGTGCATTTGCTATTTATGTAGGCGGGCGTATCGGATATATTTCGGTGCTATTCTCTTACAAATTTATTTTTAAAAACATATTAATGTTATTATAATTGGTGTTCCTAATCTAATGGTCCTAAACTAGTATTTTCTACTGTGTTATGGGTACGGAATACATACATACATACAAAGACAGAAAGAAATACTCAGACCTGACACACCAGAGATCTTTCGAAGATTTTGACTTCGGTCGGTAATCGAACCCCAATCTAAATACAGTAGTCAGGGTTCAACTGCTAGGCTAACGAGGTGATAAATATCGAAGTTAATCCGATAGAGTAATAAGGTTTCTCGATACAACATTTTCCAAACTTCTTTCTTAGACATTATGTTGGGAAATTGTATACTTTAAATTTTATAATTTGCATCGAGTAGTATAAATATATGTATGTACATATATTTACCATATGTTTTGTTCTTAGACGAACGAGCTCCTGGTTCACTTGGTGTCATGTGGTTACCGGAGCCTATAAAGATCAACCACGTAAGTTGGTAACCCACCCCGAGACATGAGTTTTAAATCTCAGTTCTTATAATAAAACGACTACTTCACTCTTCAAACCGAAATGCATTACTGCTTCGTGACAGCAATAAGCAGACTACCTACCAGGTTCGGACTGACAAGCCACCCTACAAACAGATAAAAAAATTTGGATGTTTGATTTTTATTAAAGCTAGCTATTTCTTCATCGTGGAAGTCATTCGTGAACATATTATGTCAAGAATTTACATATCTATATATTAATACGTGAAGCAAAAACTTTGTATCCCTTGTTACGAAAATTGCGTGGACGGAGGAGTATGAAATTTTCCACACTTATATAGAATATAGAGAAGAAGTGCAAAATGCTAATATTTTTTTAAAATAATGCATAAAAGATACATTAAATCAATAAAGAAAACATTACACACACTGCCATGTATTTGACACACACACGCATGCTAATTGTTAAACTTTTCTTATTGCTTATAATCTATGGTCAAATTGAGAAGAGATTATATATTGGTTGTCATTATTAATATTTGTCTAAAGTGTAGTCTTGGCGAAATCTGTGATTACGTAAGTAAAATAATCTTTGATAATAGAATCATAACAGTGTACAAGCTTATAATTTCAATTAATTATAGTCGAATTTCGACTACCGGGAGATCACTAGTTTCATTTAAAACATGGTACGTATCACAGTTGCGTCGCTCTATACGAATGTACCCAGCAACTTATTCTTTAGGCCACGATGGCTTCGTTAGATAGATTACGTTATTGTATCTCTACCTCTATACGTGCCTCGGTGAAATCTCAACATCTGATAGAGAGATATAATTATTTTTACCGTCCAGTTTATTTAGTGTGATTCAATAACTAGAAATATGGTTGAATCGCATCGCAGAAGATAATTTCACGCAACATTTTGTTGAGTCGGTGACTTTAACGGGCTTATGATGTAAATGTAATAAAGCAAATGGCTCTTCTTCGCTACTCGCATGAAAGGATGGCACTCCATGCGTCGCTGTAAAATATTTTTATGCTTTATTAAGTTAATGTCACTCTGCATATCTACGTGTACAACCCTTTGTGTTGTGTCAGACTCATAATAATATTAACGCAAGATTTTTTCTCGTGTTTCCATTTTAATTATAATCTAACTAAAGGTAAATGGGATTGACGTTGTGCTGTATTACTGATTTGGTATTTGTGATCAGGTTTTTTATTGCAATCGAAAACACATAATTGGATAGCCTAATCATAAATGTTTAGCGCTAGTCGTACCAAAGGCTCAGCGAAGTCGCTCAGTACCATAAAGTTTTTTTCTTAACTTATTGTAGTTTATCCTAGAATTTAAAAGCTTACGGTAGAACTCATCCCACGTAAGACAATATTTTTTTAAGAGATCTCAAGTAGTGGACAAACTACACAAAGGTGAGTCACTTTGGACTTTGTGTAATTATGTTATAAGGTTGATCATTGTTCTTTAAAGACTTAGGTCTCAATTTATCCTTAAAACTTTCTTTACTGCCTTTTTTGGGAAACGAGCAAAAGGTTAATGGTAAAAAGTCACAGTCGCCCATGACCACTGCTTATTAAGAAATACTCTTTTTGAAGATTTCTTATAAAAACTTCGGTTGAAACTTTAAGAAGTACGTTCACTCACATAATTGGCTCGTAATTTGTTCAGTATTCGCTGCGAATAAAAAAAAATCTCACAATTTTAATTCAAATTACGAATCCGACACAATTATATAATTACGAAGATTGGAACTCGTTAAAGCGTAACACCAAGGTAAACCCAACAATTACTTCCAGTCAATCATTGAACCGAGACATCTTCCGCCAAACATCGATTCTCCGCGAAAAAAACCTTTGAAATCCGCAAGCAAACTGTCAAGACTCGATCGACAATAATTAGTTGGAGTGTTGAGTGCGGAGGAAGCTCAAGATTGATGGCATGGGCACAAAGGTCTGTCGGTGATAAATTGCCCGATATTAGGTCATGATTTGGGCCGGATATTTGCCTATCGGTTTCACTATCGGCCTTGCATTTTTTGTCTGTTGGGTTCTAGGCGGAATGTAAAGTGAATATGAATTGAACTGTCTTTGATAAATGATGGTAGCGTGAATATCTATGTGCCTAGCTTATGAATCCTCTATATTATGAGTACAATCATATAAGGCGGGCGACTTTTTTACTGGTGGTAGGACCTCGTGTGAGTCCGCGCGGGTAGGTACCACCACCCTGCGTATTTCTGCCGTAAAGCAGTAATGCGTTTCGGTTTGAAGGGTGGGGCAGCTGTTGTAACTATACTTGAGACCTTAGAACTTATATCTCAAGGTGGGTGGCGCATTTACGTCGTAGATGTCTATGGGCTCTAGTAAACACTCTTAACACCAGGTCGGCTGTGAGCTCATCCAGCCATGTAAGCAATAAAAAAAAAGACATTCTAAAATTTTAACATATTATTATCTTACTTTGACATATAAAAAATCAAGATACGAATGTATACTAATACTAATTTCAGGGTTTTTACCCTTCATTGTGCTAAGAGCTTACGTCTTGCCGAATTTCATGTTTCAGATCAACGGAAAACGCCCGAAAGGTTTTAATGAGTGACAAAATACTTTATGATTGAGAAGCTCGAGATTTTTATGACTTCCTTCGAACAAAGTGATTCTATAGGCTTTCCGTTATTTTCCTTTTGAGTAGCGGAACCCTAAAAACGAAAAAATATCAATTGCTCTGTAAAGGTTAGATTGAAGAAAATCTTTTATGAAATTTGGAAAATAGACATTTTAAGACAGGAACGGTGGGCGGCAGTTGGTTTAAATTACTTGNTTCCGTTATTTTCCTTTTGAGTAGCGGAACCCTAAAAACGAAAAAATATCAATTGCTCTGTAAAGGTTAGATTGAAGAAAATCTTTTATGAA